TTCAGAGACATACCTGTGAAAACACTAAACAATAATCAGGTCTCTCTTGTAAATGAGTCCCCGACACTCAATGAGACTAACCTGTAGAAATAAAGGTTGAATGAAAATTTATTTTATTCGAGCACCTGTCACCAAAAAAGTCTTATTCTGTTTTATTTATTTATTTATTTATTTTATTCATTTATTTATTCATTCATTTAGAATAAACAAAGCACATTCATCAAAAAGAAAAACATTGAATGAAAAGGGAGCAGAAAGAAGAATTTTATTTCATTGTTTAAATTTTATTATTGACTCTTTTTAAAGAAATTTTAATTGAATATTTGGGGGTAATATTTTTAATGAGATTTATACATGACTTGTAAAATACTATATTCAACCAAATCATAAAATTTTAATAATTTCAACTGATGAAATAATATATTTGTTGTTTTATTTCTAAAATATGCAGAAACACACACATAATTAGTTTGTCTATTTTTTACACAGCTTAACTGACCCATTGACTTAACTAATATCAACTTAAGTAAAATAATAGAAGGAAACAGAAATAAAAACGTACCTGCATGGCTCAAGTAGCTCCTCCAACTTCTTCATCTTTCTAAGCTCAGCGTCTGTAATCAGGGGAATTTTGCTGTTCTGTTGTGACAGGGTCGCCTCTATTGGTGATTTATTTTGTTGGATCCTTTGGATCATGTGTAAAGTGGAGTTCCATCTTGTGGGCACGTCTTGAATCAGGGATTCTTCTTGTTGTTTATGTGCAACTTGCTGTTGATTCAACTCTCTAGCGTTAGATGGGATGTGCTTGAAGTGACCAACAATTTTTCGACATTTGGTTAAAACAGCGTCACATCCACTGTCCCCCAGTGACACTGTTCTCTGCAGAGCGTGAGCAGTACAAGGCAGGTGCTCGTATGGAAGGAGCCTTGCAGCTGCTGTCAGGTTTCGTGCACTGTCTGTCCCGAGCTTCGTTATATTTTTCTCAATGTTCCATTGTTGTGCGACCGCCTGGATGTGCTGCGCGCATGCCTCTGCATAGTGGCGTTCGGTAGATTTACTCACAGTTAAAGCAAAGGAGTGCAGGCACCAGCTGTCATCAATAAAGTGAGCCGTGACACCCAGATAGCTATCATTGCTAGCAGAAGTCCAATGGTCGTAGGTGAGTGCGACGTACGGTGCTCGCTCTAACACAGTTTGCTGAATCGCCTTCTGGTTGTTGTACAACGTCTCTATTCTGGACATTACGGTTGACCTTGCAGGTAGCTGATGAGCAGAGTCCCCCGACGCCTCCCGAATCACATCCTCACTCCTGCATCCTCAACAATATTTATAGGCCGACAGTTTTTAGCAACCCAACGAGCAATAACCTCCGTTATTTTGTTGGTGGCTACCTTAGTCAGCGGCCCACCTCTGGCTCCAAACTGTTGCAAAGTTGTCTGTCGGAGACCTCCTCCTTCTGACGTCGCTGCCACACCGGGATGTTTCGCCCTCAGGTGATATGTGAGAGATGAATTGCTTCGGGGATAAATAAATACACCTTTGCAATATATGCAAATTACTTTGGTTTTGTCCAAAGCACCATCTGGTAACAACTTAAAGCAAAATTGTCCATTTAATGTCGTGTCTTCCCTTTTATTTATGATGAGGCGGCTGTGGCTGAGTGGTTAGAGCAGTCATCCTCCAATGCGAGAGGTGGGGATTTGAATCCACCATCAGTCACATGCTGAAGTGTCCCTGGGCAAGACACTGAATCCCTCATTGTCTCTGATGTGTCCCATCAGTGTATGAATGTGATAAAGCTCTGATTAGTCTCTTTAGAATGATTTGTTCAATTATCTTTGTAGAGATCTAGTATAGAGCTGTATGAATGGGTAAATAGGCACAGATTGTTGTAAAGAGCTTTGAGTATCTTGAAATAAGATAGAAAGGTGCTGTATAAGTACAGTCCATTTACCATTTATCCATCGCTAGCTTTACTGAGCAACCGTAAGTGAGGTACGGCAACACCGAGGGGGAGCTTTTCAAATTTATCATCGCTTTAATTTATTTGATCGTGTCAAAATAAATAAAATAATGCAAATAATTAATACAATAATTTCAACAGCTCTAATTGAAATACAACAAACACTCTATAGGATCAACATGATGGGGATTACAGTAAACTTTATATGGGTTCCAGCACATCACGGGGTTTTGGGGAATGAAAAGGCAGACAGGATGGCTCAGGGAAGCACCAGTCGGGATGTGGTTGATATTAATGTTGGGTTTAGTATAACAGAAATAAAGGGTATAATAAAACAAAAAATGAAGGAACAGTGGCAAAAATTATGGGAGAAAGAAAGGAAAGGGCAGTGGTTTTATAAAATCGAAAGAAAAATTGGAGAAAGGAGAAGAACAGAAAGAAACAGGAGGGAAGAAACGATTATTTCACGGCTCAGAACTGGGCATACTGGGCTGAACAGAACATTATGTTTAATAGGGAAACATCAGACAGGGACATGTGAGTGTGGAGAAGAGGAAACCATAGAACACATTATTTTACATTGCAGGAGATACCAGGTTCAAAGAAACAATTTGATTAGACATCTTAGTAAAATGAAAATGAAATTAGACATTATTGATTTATTGCAGAAAGATTCAGGAAACAGAGGCTATCAAGCTATATTTTATTATTTAAAACGGTGTAGGTTGTAGAATAGGATATAAAAGGAAAGAGAGGTTTATTTATTTATTTTTTTGTCATGTGGTCCACACCCTTACCATTTGGTGGTGGTAATGCTTCCTTCAGTTGTTTGCCAACCGCCAATAAAACAAGCGACAACAACAAGAACAAAAAGCAATTTGGTAACCAGGTGCAGCTGCTGAACCGTGGATTACATGCTACCTTTAAAATAAAAAGGCTTAAAGGTGAAAGGAAAGTTAGAAATGCAGCTGTCAGGAGCAAGAGAAGATACAGTAAAGGGATGCAGTTAGAGAGGACATGGAGGTGGTTGGAGTGAGGACAGAGGACACAGAGGACAGAGAGAGACGGAGGAGGACTCGCTGTGGAGACCCTGAAGAGGGAAAAGTCGAAAGAAGACGAAAAAGAAAGGTGAAAGGAAAGTTGTTGGAAGTTAACATAAATTAAAAGAAAGTCATAAAAGCTGCCTTTTTCAGTTACACATTTTGATCATAAAATTATAATATAATTATATAAAATTATAATATGAATATGTAAAATTACAATCTAATTATATAAAATTATAATATGAATATGTAAAATTACAATATAATTATATAAAATTATAATATAAATATGTAAAATTATAATATAATTATATAAAATTATAATATAAATATGTAAAATTACAATATAATTATATAAAATTTTAATATAAATATATAAAATTTTAATATAAATATGTAAAATTACAATATAATTATATAAATTATAATATAATTATATAAAATTATATAATTATAATTACATACACTTATAATTATATAAAATTATAATATAATTATGTAAAATTACAATATAGTTATATAAAATTATAATATAATTATATAAAATTATAATATAATTATGTAAAATTACAATATAGTTATAGAAAATTATAATATAATTATGTAAAATTATAATATAATTATAATTACATACACTTATAATTATATAAAATTATAATAT